ATTCCAGCAGCCCTTCATCCTACTCATCTCCATCCTCCAAAGACAAATGTCATGGGGACTCCTCTTTTCAGCACCGGTGCCTGGGCTGGGGAGCCAGGTGTAGGGCTCAGACCCCTCGCTTCTGAGGTGGAATCTCTGCATCCAAGATAGACATTCTGCTGCTGAATCATGGGGACCCGCCCTTTATTCGTCTCCACCCCTCTGGTGTCATCCTGGCTGCTTCCTTTTAATTCTTGGTTATTGGACTTGTAATTAGTGAGGTGATTCTCGTTTATGGTGTTTCTATAACTTAGTTGTAATTTAAATGTGGTCTTGGGAGCTAAATGTCTGTACAACCTAATGTCATGGAAGTAGTAATCGCAAAACTGAAAGTTTTGCTTTTTCTCACAGTAAAAGCAGTTCAAAATTACATTCTATTGTGTGTTTTTTTAATATTGTTATTGATTTCAGAGAGGAAGGAAGAGGGAGAGTCAGATAGAAATATCAATGATGAGAATCATGGATCAGCTGCCTTCTGCACACCCGCCGCCGGGATCGAGCCCGCAGTCCGTGCATGGACCCTTGACCAGAACTGACCCCTGGACCTTCCCGTCCGAAGGCCAACTTATATTATTCTATCCACTTAGCCAAACCAGCTAGGACTTATATTAGACTATTAAGAAATTTATTGTGGAGCATGAAAGTTTGTTGTTTCTTTAAACCCAGATCTGCCTTTTATTTATTTTTATAGAGATTAGTAAATTTGAAAATTGTGGTACTACTTAACCTTCTATTATACCTTTTTCATATTGTCTTTTTTCATGAGAAATCAGTTTCATTTCATCCAAATAAGTCCCTCTGTATATACTACAAACAAATATTAGCAAAGAGTTCTTGCACATCAATACAGATGTTTCTTAAACTGGCATTGAAAATTGTCCTCCTGGAAACAGCACCTGCTATTTACAAAGGCTTGACCCAAAGGTCAAAATAAACTATTTTTAGCATAGATGTCGTAGGACTTCTGTGTTACCCTTTTTTTATATCCTTTACCTCTGACATCCCATGTGACATAAGTAAGAGCAGGCGGTGGTATCCCCACTTAACGTACAAGTGAACTGTGGCACAGAGGATTCCTGTACCTCTTTCTAGGACTGGGCTGAAATTGAACCCCACTTTCTTGACAGCTGGTCTCAACACAGTGACAGGGGGCCACAAATAATTCCATAAGGAAGTTTAAAATCAATAGGAATTACTTAAAATGAATAGTAATGTTAATATTATGAAGTACAGATTAGATTTAAATTATTTGTACTATAGGAAATATTTGGTTGGCTCTTTTTACTATTTTTAGAATAGCAATACTCCTCCCCCTTTTCTGCTTTTGCAGAAAGTAGAAGGAAGGATTAGTGGATAATTGTAGTGCTGTGATTGCAGCACCTGTGTGTTATTTCTTTTGATTGGCTAGTTTTGTATTAAAGATTCCTACCAGCTAAAAGTCTCCCTCATCAAACAGCTTTTTATTAGCTAGTTTGGCTTGGGTGATTTTAAATTTACAATAAAAACCTTCTTAATTCAGCTTAGACTTGTACTTTAAATTTTGCTCTGAATTTGTTAGTTTACCATTATCTTTTTATCACCTCACCCATTTCAGTTTTTTTAATTTCAGTGCCAGTAGCAACACGCACTCACAGTAACTCTTTCCTAGAGAGCTGCCTTTTAAGGAATATATGTCTAACTTTGATCTATTATAGGAGAAATAGGAGTTAACTGCTTTGGATTATGATAACCAATGCAGATGCTAACAGCGCTGTTTGGAACTTTTTCTTATCGCAGTCACAAAAAGCACCTTGTTTGTGGACTTAGGACTGTGTTTAAATACTCAAGGTTTGTTAAATCTCCCGAATATTATATTTTCTGAAGTAAGTAGAGGAAAAGATTTAAATACTGTAGAATGGGTTGGTTTTACTTGTTTGGCCACATCAAATTTTGAAAATTATAAAAAATGTTTAGAAGGTTACTGTAGGTAGACTCTAATTATTTACTAAGCTAACAGTGTTTTCTGAAGATAATTCCTCAAAAAGAAAACTTCAAAATTAGACTGCCTAATTTAAATTCAATCACTAATGATTGTTTCACTTTTTTTTCTTTTTAATCCTCACCCAAGATATTTTTTCATTGGTTTTTTAGAAAGAGTAGAAAAGACAGGGAGAGACAGAGAGAAATATCGATGTGAGAGAAACACATCGATTGGTGGCCTCCTGCGCGAGCCCGACCAGGGCCTGGGTTGGGAAGAGCCTGCAGCTGAGGGGTGTGCCCTTGCCTGGAATTGGACGCAGGACTCTGGTCCGCAGGCTCTCTGTTCACTGAGCCAAACCAACAGGGCTTGGTTGTTTCACTCTTTAAAATCGTTTTAGAAAGCATAATTTTCACTAACAAAGATGTTACATGATTTTATTAAATACATTCTGTGTTTTTAAATAAATGAATATATTATATCTGGATCATTTTAGCTTGTATAGTTTTAGGTCTCCTTTTTTTGTATAGTGAAGTATAATTATACTTCAAAATGTATTTTACCTAGATAGTCATGTCTTGCTTTTATAAATTTTTCTACATTGGAAATACCCTCCTGCTTTAGAAATATTAACATTTGCTTTCTTTCTGCTTAATTTTTGTGTAAACTCTAAATATAATAAGATAAAGTGAAATATTTCGTTTATAAGCCCTCTGAAAGTAGAGCATTTTAAAAGCAGGTAGGTGTCTCCACCCTACTTTTCATGAAGCATTTTACCCATTCAAGCAGACTTTTAAAAACAGCTTGTTTTGATAGCAAACTGTTCTCCTGTGGGCCTTCAGCCTTTGCTTCCTGGCAGCACCTTTGGTGCGAAAAGAGAGTGATCAATTGGGAGACTATCAGTGCCAGCATGCATAGAGTGATAAGTTAACACACCACTGGGAATTTCTAGGGCCCACCAAGATACTTCACTTCTAATGTGCTAACAAGCTCATTTTTCTACCTCTTGCCTCTTCAGTTATTTTTTTTCTCAGAAGAGCTTAGAAGTTGAGTGCATCAGGCATAATGAAAAGCTCTGTAGGAGGGAGAAGCAATAACCCCATTTTTCCCTTTTCAGCCAAATAGAAAATTAGTTTCTGGTAATACACAAAGGCCAGTATTTTTTGTACAAGGGGCACTGCTGTGAATCAAAGGACTCTATTAACTGCAGAAAATTCAGCAGCTGTGAATCTCCCCCATGAAAAAAGTACTTTCCAACAAGTTGTGAGATATGTGGTATTATTTAGATTGAACCATCAGTTTCATCCTTTTCCATTTATAACCATATACTTTCTTTTAAAAGTGTGTTCTATTTCTTTTCTATGTTAACACTCAAAAATGTCTATATGATCCTTCCTTAAAATTCTTACCACTGATCATTTTAATAATCTTGTCCTGTTGCTACTCATGTCAGAAGTAAAATTCTTTTGAAGTTCAACCTCAGTCTGCAGAATTGAAAATAATGGATGGCACGGAATTGGAATTCATATTATTTCAGTGCATAAAATAAATTTTAATACAAGGAGAAATTACTCAAGCCATTTAGAGGGCAAAGGGTATCACAGTCTAAGTCAAGGACCTATTGATATAGGCTTACCTTTACTCTGATGCTTTTTCCCCTCTTCTTAATAACTTCTATAAATATAACTGACTACGGTAGTCCCATTGAATTAGAATTTTTAATTATCTTTCACAACTTTTTTCCTTGATCTAGATTATAGACTTGGGATATAATTTCTAGAATTGTAGAACTACAGTAATTGAATTGTAATTTTCTTTTCCAAAGAATAAGGAATTTTGAGGAGAAAATATTTTTAAATGAGTTTCAGAAAATCAGAGTGGAATAAAAAAAACCAATAGGCATATTTGTTTTTATTCTTTATACTTACTTAAATGTCTTAGGTAAAGCCTATCAACAGAGCATATTGAGTACAGCAGGAAAACTTTTAAAAGTTGTAGAAGAAAGGTTAACTGATTTCTCAGTTCAGGAACTATACGACATGAAGTCAGCATGTGAGCTTTTCCTGATAATTGTATGTTGCTGCCTGCTGCTCTACATTTTGACAACCATTTCCATAGTTGCTTTCGTGAACAACAGAAATATTCTCTCTCTTTCTCGCCCTCTCTGTGCTAACAGCACAATCAGGCCTGCTGAAACAGGAAGCCTGGAGTGGGTTGTTCAAAAGCAACAACACTTCCAGGTACTGGTTGCTTGTCAATAATATCAGAGAAGAAAATGTGGTGAAAGGGAAGTACAGTGTTTTTCTGTCAGTGTCAGTGCCCTGTAGATGCTTTGTTAGACAGTATTTAGGAGTCCTGTGGTCTCTTTGCAAATATTCCTGCTTGTTTCAGTGTTATAATTGACTGGGGGTTTTTCCTGACATACAGATTCAACTATGTATTTATCTTAACCGCATGGAGTTATTCAAGGATTATAGCAACAGTAGTCTTCCATTCAATATGAGGACAATTGTTGGGGAAATGCAGAGATTTTAGAAGAAAAGAAAAAAAGGAAGATATGCAGGAATTTTTCACAATAAATCTTTACAAATGAAAAATATAGAATTTTAGACATAGTATTTTAAGCAGCATTATCATATTTATTGTATGGCTTCTCAGAGCAAATCTGCAGATCTGAAGCCGACTAAAAATAGGCTGACCTAATAGCAGTTGATCCTTTCTCAAGTAAACTTAACTTTCTTTATTCTAACAGTTCAGTATTGTAATTACTTTCTAATAAATGTCTCCCTGTTAAGCTTCCATTTATAGTGATATCCTGAAATGTAAACATGTTAAAAACCATATTTTTTACTCTTTAAAAAGCCATACTTTTGATATATGCAAGGTTAATGAATCATTGTATTTATCAAGAACTGATGGCTTAGCAATCACAATGTCCTTTTTCATGAGTCTATTCTTTTTCAATATAAGCTGCATTAACTTATCCTTAACTGACGGAAATCAGCTATGAGGAGAGGGCACGGTACCTGCAAACTATTGTCCAGCACCATTTAGAACCAACGACATTTGAAGACTTTGCGGCGCAGGTTTTTTCTCCAGCTCCCTACCATCATTTGCCACCGGATGCTGGTAAGATTAAAAGCAAGTATTCGTTACTTGTCATTATTTGAACTTGAAATGCAATACCCTTTTGTTCTAAAAACTCTTAAAATAATAGAAAACATGCCTAAATAAAATTCCAGTTTCAACATTGAAATATAAATATTTTTCATCATTATTTAATATTTGAATCTGGCCTATAAACTTGATTCATATTTTCTTTTACCTACATGGAGTTTCTTTGAAAGTCAACAGTCTTCATACAAGTACATACACCACATTTTATCTGAGCTAATGGGCAGAATCACTACTGAAGGAAGTATCTGTGAAAGAAACACAAGTTGAGCATGCACTGGCAACTTTAGAGCATTGAATTTTATGGCCAAGAATATTGTCTTATCTCTAATTTTACAAATAAAGTTGAGTGGTCTAGATTTAAAAGGACTTAAAATAGCTAATTATTTTATAATATCTAAAGATGATAAAAGGGTACTGCATTTTTACTATTAACTAATTTTGAAGAAATCAGTAAAAAATAAATGACTCATGGCCTTCCTATTCTGTAATACTTTGTACTCCTTATGATTGTTTCATTTATTTTATTTTCCCTCTTTAGATCATTAAATATCAGTTCTGTTTATCTGAAGGTAAGACAAAGTGTCAACCAAAACATTCTTTGTTCTTCCCCTATTTCCTTTTTTTTTTTTTTTTTTTTAATTAGCAAGCACTAAGCTTGTAAATCAAACAGTAAGCAAACTTAACATTGCCCTGGTTCATACTAAACATTTCAGAAATGATCACTAAATTTTTTTCAGAATTATACTTACTAACCCAAGTCTGCATGAAACACTAACACTGGTTCTGGTATAAAAAATAACTAATAATAAACCCCTTGGTTGAAATTAGTTACACCTTCTTGTATTGACCTTCTTTGTTTCTCAGCATGAAAAAAGTAGTACTACTGAACTGAAATGGTATGTCTTTGTATTTTATAATGTGTTGCATTTTTATTATCTTAACTCACCAAATAGTTGTTCTGTTGTGTGCCTTTCACTGTACGAGGCATCTGAAATATGACGATGACTTTTTATGAGTTCAAAGGAAGCAGGAAAAGATAATACAGTATACTTGAAGTTTATTATAGTAACTCTTCAAATTCTCTTTTTTAGTTTTTTTCTATGATAAATAAGTTTAAAAGGTATAGTACTCCTTTTTTTGCCTAATTTATTTGAAAAAAAAATTACTGTAATTCTCAATTGAGATTTAGTCGATGAAATTAAAGCTTCCATTTCTGTGATCATTTAACTGGACATTAGAAAAATAATTATACCTAAAATCTTAAAGCTCTTTTGATTAATATAAAAGACTTATTAGCAATGATGACTAGGTTGAATCTTTTGAAAGAGAGATTAAAAAACCTAAGATTCACTTCAGTGGATTGATACTATCTAAAATTATTCAACTTAGCATAAAGAAAGATGGCAAAAGAAAGATATTAAAAGTAAATTAATAAACAACAAAATAAAAACTAGTTAAGTATACCTGAAAATGTCCTTTTTAATAATAGAGAATATCTGATAGACTAGATTATTAAAATATATATGAATAATACTTTTGTGAATCACATAGTCAAGCTATATATTTCACAACTGAAAAACATTGATAATGGGACCACACTCAAACTATATTTTCCCCTTAAATGTAGAAAATGTGTCATTTTTAATGTTCTTGTTGTTTACCAACTGGAGTCCTTCACATTCCTCCTCTTCATGTTCCTTTCTTTTTTGCCTATTCTGCATATTTCGCCAGATACACACACACACACACACAGTCCTCGGCTTACGTCAGAGATCCGTTCCTACAGTGCAACTAACACAATTTTCACCGTAAGTCGGAACCCACGCAATGAAGTTTAACAGTGAAAACATAATTAAAAGAAAGATAAGAATTTCTGACCTTTACTTGTGGTAAATAAATAATAAACAACATAAAGCACATATGAACATACGTCAAAATAATGGAACTTTTTCTTTATATAAATAAATGGGAGATTGCAACGTAACCACAAAACGTATGTCAATTCCAACGTAACCCAAGGACTGCCTGTATTTATATATATAATACGGGAAGTAAATATTCTCACTTTCTGAGGCATTAAGTAAAGGATGATACAGTAACCAAGTCAAGGCTCTTTTGGCTTCATTTTTTAATATATTCCAGTATTTTCTTTACAACTTGTTGAACATAAAACTGACAGTTATTAAATAGTAATGCATAAACCTAATACATTTTTATATGATTATATAAAATATTTTTGGGGGGTGCAGTGAAGAAGAAAACTTTAGTGCAAAACAGCTCAATTGTGATATAGCATGCTATAGAACATTCAATTAATTTTTTTTAATTGTCTTTACCTTTAGGAACCATTAGAAAAAAACTCTTAAGAGGTTGTTTTTGCTGTAAATAACTTAGTCCAGTATTATCAAATACCTTTTTATATGTTCTTTGCAAACTGCATAGTTATTAAAGATAGAAATTTTTAGCAGAGTGGTTCTCAGTTCAACACAATATAAAAATGAAATATTTACTTCTGCAATAACAAAAGCATTCTGTTCCTGACAAATTATTGTTTTATTTTTTCCAGTTACTTCAGATTTTTCTGTCCTAAACCACCCCATACATGTAGAACTCTCTTTAAAAGTGTAAGTCAAAGTTGGGGAGAGAACACATGAAATAAACCACATAATAGCAGTATGGAAGTTTTTGGTTCACTTTTACTTTTTAGCATATGATAAAATTTGCCACACTGAGGAAATGCATTCATAATTGCAAGAGAAAATTAACTTTAAATATTCTATGTGTACTTCATGTATATAAAATAATACTGATCAATACTGATGCATTAATTTAAAATTGACAATCATATAAAAATATATCTTTCTAACCAATCCTATAACATAATTTTATTTAATGGAATAATGTGAAAAATACTATTTTTTAAGTTGACAACTTGATTTAAGATTAACTAAAACCTACTTTCTATTTTACAGTAATGTACCAACTGCGATAACATTAAAGTAAAAAAAAGATTTTAAAAATAATTTTAGTGTTATTTAAAGAGATATGAAAAGCATTTTTGGTGTATCATAGTTGCTCCACAAATTTCATAACTGTATTTTCTCAAAATGGACTCTGGCAGTAGACTGATATTTAACGGGAAATTATTTTTCTCCCTAAGGGGGAGATATGGGAGATCAACAAAGTGTGACATCATGATAACTACATTAAACATTATTAGATTGTTCTTGTCCCTTCTTTTTTTTAAAATTACAGGAAAAATCCCTTTATCTTTGTCAGGCATGTGTGTGGAAAATATCAAAAGTTTTACAGTGACCTTTTTAAACTTTTTTAATATTCATGAACACCTCTCTTCTAACTCTGCAAATAAATTACTCTTCTTCTTGACCAAATTACATTGGTAGTTCAAAATCTGGATATTTTTCCCTAATAGCACATTGTCTTTTCAAATCAAGCCTTATTTTAATAAAAGAAATTATGGAATGCCAACGAGAAACAGGATTTTTTTTTTTTTTTCTGGAAAAGCGCAATAAACATTGTCTTTCTCAATTTCAACATTAAAAATAGTACTCATTTTTTTCCAGTGCTGTCTTTTTAATATCACCAGCTATAAATATGTTTAATGTTTATTGTGTAATATTAAGCTAGTATATAACTCCACTTGGAATTATTGGGTTTGGTTTTTTTTCAAATTAAGTGTAGAAATTTTAGTACTTTAAAAACTAAAGGATTGATGGTGTTTGACTCTATATATGCACATTTACACATATTCATATACACACATAAATATACACACCTATACCTACATATAACTATCATTACCTTGAGAAAATTTATAGGCTACTATTTTTTTAATATGTTTTTATTGATTTCAGAGAAGAAGGGAAAAAGAGATAGAGAGAATGATGAGAGAGAATCATGGATCGGCTGCCTCCTTTTTATATGTTTTTTGCAGACTGCCTCGTGCATGCCTCACACTGGGGATTGAGCCTGCAACACGGGCATGTGCCCTGACTGGGAATCGAACTAAGTTAGGCTGCTATTTAAATAAATATTATAAAAATTAGTAGTAAGATTCAAATGTTTTTATGTATGCTATCAAAATAAGAGTTAATCTAGATAAGAATGGTTATGAAAACCTACGGTAGTGTCACATCATCCTTCATTCTAATCTATTTTACTATTATTTCATAAAATCTGTGTTGCCACATGTAGATGGGATCGTGTTATGATGATCAGATCCATCTCTTGAACCTTTGGATAGAACAAATCATCAAAATTTAGCCATTGCTTTAGGTAACCATTTAAGCTCAGTGTTCTTCTTTAAAAGTCATTTTGCACTTTACTTTCTAAAGTAACCTGAAAGAATATATTTTAGGAACGCAGAAGATGTTATATATATATATATGTTAGAGGCCCAGTGCACAAAATTCATGGACGCGGCTAGAGTGTGTGTCCCTAAACCCAGCCTGCACCTTCTCCAATCTGGAACCTCGAGGGATGTCCGACTGCCCTCTCACAATTTAGGACTGGTGGCTCCCAACCGCTTGCCTGCCTGCCTGCCTGCCTGATTGCCTCTAACCACTTCTGTCTACCAGCCTGATCGATGCCTAACTGCTCCTCTGACGGCCTGATTGCCCTTCCCTGCCCTTCCCTACTGGCCTGATTGCCTTCAACTACCCTCTCTTGCTGGCCTGGTCACCCCTAACTGCCCTACCTTGTCAGCCTGGTTGACCCCATCTGCCCTTACCTGCAGACCTGGTCGCCGCTAACTGCCCTCCCTTGCAGGCCTGGTCCCTCCCAACTGCCCTACCCTACTGGCTTGATCACCCACAACTGCCCTCCTCTGCTGGCCCAGTCACCCCTAACTGCCCTCTCTTGCCAGCCTGGTCACCTCTAACTGCCCTCCCCTGACAGCCATCTTATGGTGGCCATCTTGGGTGATGGAGTGA